TAATAATGTATTTTTAAACCACATAAAGTATTTTCTAAAGAAATATCAATTTACACACAATTTTATATGAATGCACATATTGTAACTATTTTACCTACCTACTGCTTGAATATACTTCTGTCCAAAGTATAAGTAGGGATTATTAGAAGATGCTGAGACATGAGATGAAGAAATCTTGTTTATTAAATTTGTACTACCAATGAACTATACGCTCACTTTCAGGAAAAGATCATTTAAATCACGAACTCTGCCATCTCTGCTTTCATTTTCCATGAGGAAATAATATTTCAGAAAAACCAATTTTGAATAATGATTTCTATTTGGAAGTATACATACCTCACATTTTTGAAGTCTGTGAAATTATTCCTTTCAAGAATGGTTTTTCCAACAGCAACCATGTTCTCAACTATAAAACAGGAAAGAAAGCACATTATATCATAGGAGACATTAAATTCATTAAACTGTTATTAATCTTAACTTTCAGAATCCTAGTCAAAATTACATCAAATGGGTAAACATTTAAAAACACATTCAATAGCTCTAAGTTACTGAGAAGTTTGCTTATCAGCAATTAAAATGAAGATTTAATCTGTCACAAAATATCACATATAGGCTGACTCTAAATAGCTGTTGAGGGGTATTATCAAGTGACTGTTTAGGATATCTGATCCTGCTGAGGTCTAATTCTAATGATAAGGAGACCAAGTAACTAAATAAAAATTGTTTGAATTAAGACGACAGAAAAATGCTGAATTTGTCTTTGAGCCCAAATTAGGGATCCCTTTGTGTTCAGCTTAGCCTTGACTAACTAAACGTTTGTATAATTGTTTTGGCTTCCAAACTCTATTTGCCTTGTCACCTTTATTGTCTCAGTGCTTTATGGCTTTCAGATGGGAATATGCCTCCCCATTAGAAAAATTTTGGTAACCTGGTATCATCAAAGCACAATGCCAACTTTAGACCTCTTTTGTTTCTGAATGGTATAATCAAGTATTTGAAAGAGAAAGAGAAAATCTACAGAGGATAGTTGTTATAATGAGGCTTATAAAACTGCTGCTAATATTTACTTCTTTAAGTTAGGCTTGAGCTGGGAGGCTGCCAGACGTGCATGACGAGGCCAGTACCATATTGTCAAACAAAATCTCAAGTTACTTCAAGCTACACTGTGTCTTGTTTTCTTTTAAGATACTCCCAAGATCCCAAACAAGTGGGTCAATATAAAAGGCTGTTTTATCTTTTAATTTCTTTAAAAGACATATATGACTGTTTAAAGCAATGATTTTAACAGTATTATGGGACTATAATGTATGTAAATGAAATATATATAACAGCAATAACAAAGTGTTGCAAAATTTCTCACATTTTACATGAATTGGTACAATATTAATTCTAAATAAGCTATGATACTTAGGATGTATATTTTAATCTCTCTAGAGCAACCACTTTAAAAAATGTGAAAAGGAATACCTTAAAAATCAAGAAATAAAGTTGAATGCTAAAAAAATAGATTCAATCAACCACAAGAAGGTAGGAAAGAAGAAACAGGGCAACAAAAAACAAATGGAATAAATAGAAAAACATATGGCAAGATGGTAGAGCTAAATCCAACTTGTCAATAGTTACATTAAACGTTTATGAACTAAAATGTCTAATTAAAAGACAGAGATTTTTCACACTACATTTTTTTAAAAAGCAAAACTCTATTGCTTTCTTCAAGCCTTTAAATATAAATATTCAATTTGGTTGAAGGATACAAAAAGATATGCAGTGTAGGCAATAAGTAATAAACAAGTTGGAGTACCTAATTTAATATCATATAAAATAGACTCAAGAAATGTATCCAGAGATAAAGATGAACAATTTATAATGATAAAAAGGATCAATTCATTGAGAAGAAATGACAATCATAATTATGTATTCACTTAAAATCAGATCTGACAGCCAATAAGCCTGAGGGTCAATCCCTCCCACTGATGTGCAAATAGCAATCAAGGCTCAACTACAACAGGAGGGCACACACGATCCACACAAGCACACCTGGAGGATCCGCTCAAGTGAAGCCGTGCCACTGGGCCCCACAGGATACCTACTATATAAGCGCACTCTATCAAGACCTGAAGACATAGCAGATCTACCTAATGTATATAAAAAACATGGGGAGAAAGCCAAAATGAGAAGACAAAGAAACATGTCCCAAACGAAAGAACAGAACAAAACTCCAGAAAAAGCCAGTTGATGAAGTCAGTGAGAACTTTAACAGAGATAGGAAACATAAAAATGGAGATAGGAAACATAAGTCAGAAACGAAGAATATAACTGAAATGAAGAATACATTAAAGGGAATCAACAGATTAGCTGAAGCAGAGGATAGAATCAGTGATTTGGAAAACAAGGTAGCATAAAATACCTAATCAGAAGAGCAGAAAGAAAGAAAAATCCAAAAAAAAAAGAGGATAGTTTAAGGGGCCTCTGGGACATTATCAAGTGTACCAATGCATCATAGGGGTGCCAGAAGGAGAAGAAAGAGAATAAGGAATTAAAAACCTATTTGAAGAAATACTGATGGCAAACTTCTCTAACCTGGTGAAGGAAATAGACATACAAGTCCAGGAAGTGCAGAAAGTCCCAAACAGGATGAACTCAAAGAGGCCCACAGCAAGACACTTCATCATTAAAATGCCAAGGGTTAAAGACAAAGAGAGAATTTTAAAAGCAGCAAGAGTTAGCTACCTACAAGGGAGCTCCCATAAGCTGATTTCTCAAAAGAAACTTTGCAGGTCAGAAGGGATTGATACGAAATATTCAAAATGATGAAAAGCAAGGACTTATAACCAAGATTACTCTACCCAGTAAGGCTGTCATTTAGAATTGAAGGATAGATAAAGAGCTTCTCAGACAAGAAAAAGCTAGAGTTCATCACCACCAAACCAGTATTATAAGAAATGTTAAAGGGAATTCTTTAAGATCTTCTTTAAGAAGAAGAAAAAAGATAAAAAATATGAATAATAAAATGGCAATATCTACATACCTAATAATAATTACTTTAAATGAAAATGGATTAAATGCTCCAATCAAAAGAATGAATGGATAAGAAAACAAGACTCAAATGCTGCCTATAAGAGATCCACTTCAGATCGAAAGACACAAACAGATTGAAAGTAAAGGGATGGAAAAAGATTATTTCGTGCAAATGGAAATGAAAAAAAAAGCTGGGGTAGCAATACTTATGTTGGACAAAACAGACTTTAAAACAAAGGCTATAATAAGAGAGAAAGAAAGACCCAGTAATCTCACTTTTAGATATTTATCCGAAGAAACCCAAAATACTAATTTGAAAAAACATATGTATCCCTATGTTCACTGCAGCATTGTTTACAATGCCCAAGATATGCCTAAGTGTCTACTGTTGGATGAATGGATAAAGAGGTGGTACATATATATAATGGAATAGTATTAAAAAGATTTTGGATACTGAAAAAAAAATCAGATCCAAAATACATGAAACAAAACCTATTGGTCCTTTTCTATATCATTGGTATCTACTTTTCATTATTTTCTTCTTTCTACTTATTTTGGTATTGTTTTGATCTGATTTGCTTGCTTCTTTCTAGCATCTTAAAGTGGAAACTTAGGGCATTTGTTTTAAATCTCCATAAGCATTTAAAGCTATAAATTCCACGTAGGCACTGCTTTAGCTACATACTATAAATTTTGATATGTTGTATTTTTGTTACCAATCTATCCAAAATATTGACCTCTTTGACCTTTTTACTTAGAAGTCATTTAAAAGTGTTTAAAAATTTAAAAATATTTAATGCTATTATAGATTTTATTGTTTTTCAATCTAATTTCATTGTCATCAAATAACATATTTTATAAGATTTGAATCATTTGAAATATATTTAGACATATTTTATTGCCCAAAACAGGGTCTATCCTGGTGAATATGTGCTCTTAACAAAATTTTATCCTATATAGTATAGAGTTCTATAAATGTCAATTATAGTCACAATGTTTTATAGTGTTATTAAGCTCTTCCATGTGTTTATTTTCCCAACTTCATAGACTTTATGAAATATTAATTGCAAAAACTTTAAAAATCATATTAGGGAAATATCAAAAGTATACAAAATCAGAAAGAACTGTATAAGTACAATGAAATCCCAAATACCATACTGCTTCAAAATTAGTAATATTTGATTTGCAAAAAGTTATACAACTTTTAATAAGAAATACTAGAAAAAGTAAAACAACCATGAACACATTTCTTCCTCCTTAAGAAAAACAGTATAAAAGGAAATATAGAAGTATATCAGTACTTAAGTCTATGGTGGTAGGTGTTGCCTGGTACTAAATATTGCACATCTACTAGCCTCCATCTGCTGAAATAAGTGTAAAATGTACTCATAGAACTTCAGATGACTAAGGAACTTTGTAATATCTAGGAAAAAAAAAGTTTAAAAACTGGTAATTCAGGAATCTAAACACTAATAAACTACATATCAAGATTTCTCATCAAAAAAATAATTCTTATTCACCTTAAAAAAATCTAGCCCAATTTATCTATCTTGCCAGCTACCTTAAAGTATTAACCAACTAATTCCAGACCCTGGTGACAAAGGTTATCGAAGCAGATTAGAAATGTCTTAGTAAATGATAGCTGATAAGTCACAGAAATCATGAGTAGGAAAATACAAGATAATCCTGTAAAAGACAAAATTCAGAATTTCCTTTTCAGAGGCTAAAAGTTCATCACATTTCTTATAATTAAACTTTGGTGTTAGTTCATCTACACAAAAAACTACAAGGCAAGTACCAGTACAGTCTCACCTTCAGGCAACATGAGCTCATATGCTATATTTTCACTTATTTGTATATAATTTTCACAGCACTTTTCATTTTCAGAGTCAAGAAAAGCCAACATTTAGAAAACATAAAGAGGCATTATCTTTTAGAGAGTTTAAAGGTTAAATAAATCATGAGAAGGCAGAGTTCTTTGGAAAAGACAATAATACTGGGAAAAACAGAAGGCAGCAGGAAAAGAGGAAGAAAAAAATATGAGATAGAGTGACTCCAAAAAAGAAGCCATAGGCATGAGTCTACAGGGGCTGAACAGGGCTGTTGAGGACAGGACATTGTGGACAACGCTCATTCAGCGTTGCCAGGAGTCAGAACCAACTCAACAGCATGCGACTACAACGTATCTGGGATTTGCTTCAAGTACAATGTGGGAGAAGGTTAATAGATGAAAAAATATCAGTCATGAGTTACTAAAAGTTGAGGCTGGGTAATGAATACATGGAGATTATACTATTTTCTTTATTTTTGTATATATTTGAAATTTTTCATAATGAAAGTTTCAAAAAGTCATATAGATTTTTTGTAATACGTCTAGATTTTTTCTTTTTAAATGTAACTGCCATCACTGATGCCAATTCAAGATGATATAATCATGAAGAATAGTGCCATCATCTTACCCAGTTCTATTTGATCTTTCTTTAGATCTCTGCAGTTTCCAATATGCTTCTTTGGTACCACAAGATAATGATGAGGTACTGCTGGTTTGATATCTTTGAAGCAAATTAGGTCTTCATTCTAAAGAGAAAAACATATCATTTGTTAGCGAATTTTTTTTTTTTAAATTACTAATGCTGTTCTGGCATGTTTAAAATATAAATCTCAGTCTGATTAAAATGATACTTATGTCACAACTAAGCCCCACTGAGCAATTTTGTGATTATGCATTAAGTCTATAAAGGCAATCATTAGCTTCTTTCATGAAATGCTCATTTATTGTAGAGACTAAAAAGACATAAATTAAATTTTAAGAAAAGAATTATGAATAAAGTTTATTAAATCTTTATTACCAAAAATTCCAGAGGTCTTTTTTTTTCCCCACTATATATTTCTCCATTTCTACCCTAGGGATTTTTCACTCTTAATAATTACTTTTAAAGGTCTGACTACAGAATCATAGAAAGATTGATAAATTCTTTTTTATATTTAATTTCTTTCCAAAGCATGATCCTTAATTATAAGAACATCATCTAGCATATAAATATCGACAGGTTATTTTTTTAAACATTTTACAGTAATTATATACAAATACATGTTCTCTCTGTTTACTTGCCACTTTACAGCACTGAAAAGTATTTGATATGCTGAAACAAACTCTAGTATATAGTAATAAATTATATGCCTAACCTATTACATCAGTTTTCTGGTTTACATATTCCACACAGTAATGTAAAGAAAAAAGAAAAGGTAAAGAAAAAGGGAGTCTTTCAATCTATTAACATTGTTTCAAGTTTTTCCAAGAGAAAAATCTATATTCCCTAAATAACCTTATTTAATATCCTATATAAAAAAAATTAGTCAAAATTAAATAAAATCAATATCGATAAGTATAGTTTCCCTTGAAAAATCTCCAGAGTACACTATTACTCATTGGTTCTCCATTCCAGGATTCCAAAATTCAATTTGAATCAGGGCCTCATATCCATGCCAGTAATCTTGGTTTCAATGAGAACAATAGTTAAAGGCAATTGTACATATTGTACCATTAACTTCCTTATCAGTGTTCATACCGCTCATCTAAGCTTCAAGTGATAAGTCCACCTCCAATGCCACCATGCTTTAGAGAATGAAACTTTTTGTCTACTTTAACTGGACTGGAAAGTAGCAAAAACAAGGTATCATGTGTCCCTTTCTTATCTCAATATTTCTATAAAATGCCCAGAATATCACTTTACTAAAAACTGTTTAAATATTGATGTTGTTGATGTCCTTACTTATATACCTTCAGGCGAGAAGCTACTAAAATGTGGAGGCACAACACAAAAATCTTGATTATTTTTCCAGCTATTAAGTATTACTTTAATAGAAGGAAAAAAATGTTACTTTTAAGATCTTGTGGTAAACAGTGATGGGTCAACTGAACACAGCATGAGGTAGGAGGAAAGTACACAAACAAGAACCGAATTGAGGTGCCTGCCTACAGAAACAGGGATTTGATAGTGTGTTTGAAGAATGTGAGATTCCTTTGTTACCCCCCAACTTTCAGGAAAAGTCCACAGCAACTGTTGCTTTGCATTAAAATATCAGGAAAATGAAAGGAAAAGAATCTGTGTTAGTCTCTGGTTAATCCAAGAAAAAGGTCTGAGGCTGAGATAGAAAATTCAGTAGAAACAGAAAATCGTGAGAGGTGAATAGGGATGTTTGCAGCATACACCGCTCTACCCCTGCCCGTGAGAAAAATCCTCTGATATACTAGAGAGTGATGAGTTTCCTGTGATTTATGGATAGAGACTCAGACCAGTTTTATGTGTGTATACATATGTATGTGCATGTGTATACATATGTACATACATGTATACGTGATGTGCATGCACCCACAAAGAGGAATCCCAGAAGGCTGGATGACTTGGGAAACCTGAATGGTTAACTATAAAATAAAAACATGACAATTATATCAATTTTAATTCATTTTTATTATGTCTTGTCTAACAGTAACTTTAAATATTGATATCCATGAAATGTTTTTAAAAAGGATAAGATCGAAGACCATAATGTTTTTGATTGTTTAATATTTTTCATTATTTCTTTGATGCTACAAGCTGAGAAACAATTAGTATTGAGGATCAAATCTAGCACAATAAAATAGCCAGTACTTCCCGGATGGGGCAGTACATAAAACAACAATTTTAGATGTCTTTATTCCTCCTCAATTATGACATTAACTTTAAAAAATCTAGAGGTAATTCTGGTACCAAATACATCCTGATTAGAATTAGTTTGAGGTAATGTAGCTGAATTCCACCTCAAAGCAGGAATAACACTGCTTTAGATTCATGGAACCAGAAAGTATCAGTCTAAAGGATAACAGAAGAGAAAAAATTAAGGAAGCTCCTAAAATCCTGCTGCCCCATACTCCATGATTCCGCCGTAAGAATGAACCAAATGCCTAGTTCTCTTTGTCTCCCAAATCCCTATTTTGAAAAGTTTTATTTACTAAATGTCATGTATGAATAAAAATTTTCTCAATTCTAATAAAAAAAAAACTACTAATCAACATAAGTGTCATCATCACCAGGAGTAGATAAAATTCCTGTCAAAAGCAAAGAAACTTAATGTTTTAGTTAGCCTAAACAATCAATGATTGATTTAGATTTCCATTAAGCTTCCTAAAAATATTGAAACTGGCTGTCTGCTATCTCCATCTCTACCATTGCTAATAATGACTCAGCCATTATTTAGACTCTTCATTTTAAGACTATCCTCTTATTCCAAAAGTACACTGACAAAAAAATATGCAATGATGGATGTACAAGCCTATTCTTTGCAGCATGATTTATGATAGCAAAAGACTGAAAATAATTCAAGTGTCCATAATTCAACCAGGAGACTGACTTAGTTTTGGTAAATCCACACAATGGAGAAATGTGTAGCTATAAAAAGGAACGAGGAATATCATTATAAACTTACAAAATAATTTTGGGAACATACACCTAAATTAAAAAAGAAAGCAAGGAGCAGGATAGTGGTTAAGCTATCTTTTGTGTAAGAACAGAGAACAAAATATAAACTTACACATATATATTTACTCACAGTGGAAGGAAAAACAAGAAAATATTTTAAAGTTTCTTATGGGGGAAGAAGAACAGGGTAGAAATGACAAGAGAATAGATACTAGACTTCTCCAAATGTACTTTCCTTTATTGAAAATGGCAAATAAAGAATGTTTTATTTGCCATTTTCAATTCAGATCATAGGCAAGCTTCTGAAGTGTGGGACATTCCATATTCATCTTGAACTCTAAGTGAGTAAACACATAATAAGCCAGAAAAACTGCTGAATAAATAAATGACAGTTGCTTAAAAAGAAAGATGAAGCTACCAATGTTCCCTTCTCTATTCCTTAAAAAAGAGGTATATCATTAGATTTTCAGATACTTTACTAGTAACAGAGATGGATTTTCCATGATCTTTCAGTCTGTCCTTGCAAAACAACCTCTTAAAGTTGGAATTACGGTCAGTGTTTAATTAGAACAGTGCTTCTCAAACTCTCCTCATTACTAGTCCCCTAAGGAATCTTTGTAAAGTTGCTGCCCCATACTCCATGATTCCGCCGTAAGAATGAACCAAATGCCTAGTTCTCTTTGTCTCCCAAATCCCTATTTTGAAAAGTTTTATTTACTAAATGTCATGTATGAATAAAAATTTTCTCAATTCTAATAAAAAAAAAACTACTAATCAACATAAGTGTCATCATCACCAGGAGTAGATAAAATTCCTGTCAAAAGCAAAGAAACTTAATGTTTTAGTTAGCCTAAACAATCAATGATTGATTTAGATTTCCATTAAGCTTCCTAAAAATATTGAAACTGGCTGTCTGCTATCTCCATCTCTACCATTGCTAATAATGACTCAGCCATTATTTAGACTCTTCATTTTAAGACTATCCTCTTATTCCAAAAGTACACTGACAAAAAAATATGCAATGATGGATGTACAAGCCTATTCTTTGCAGCATGATTTATGATAGCAAAAGACTGAAAATAATTCAAGTGTCCATAATTCAACCAGGAGACTGACTTAGTTTTGGTAAATCCACACAATGGAGAAATGTGTAGCTATAAAAAGGAACGAGGAATATCATTATAAACTTACAAAATAATTTTGGGAACATACACCTAAATTAAAAAAGAAAGCAAGGAGCAGGATAGTGGTTAAGCTATCTTTTGTGTAAGAACAGAGAACAAAATATAAACTTACACATATATATTTACTCACAGTGGAAGGAAAAACAAGAAAATATTTTAAAGTTTCTTATGGGGGAAGAAGAACAGGGTAGAAATGACAAGAGAATAGATACTAGACTTCTCCAAATGTACTTTCCTTTATTGAAAATGGCAAATAAAGAATGTTTTATTTGCCATTTTCAATTCAGATCATAGGCAAGCTTCTGAAGTGTGGGACATTCCATATTCATCTTGAACTCTAAGTGAGTAAACACATAATAAGCCAGAAAAACTGCTGAATAAATAAATGACAGTTGCTTAAAAAGAAAGATGAAGCTACCAATGTTCCCTTCTCTATTCCTTAAAAAAGAGGTATATCATTAGATTTTCAGATACTTTACTAGTAACAGAGATGGATTTTCCATGATCTTTCAGTCTGTCCTTGCAAAACAACCTCTTAAAGTTGGAATTACGGTCAGTGTTTAATTAGAACAGTGCTTCTCAAACTCTCCTCATTACTAGTCCCCTAAGGAATCTTTGTAAAGTTTTTTTTTTCCTATTTGGCCCCCTCTCATGGTATTTTTATACCATGGCTATATTGAGTATCTGCTTATGGTATTTCTGTATATGGTATTTCTGTACTTTATACGTATAAGAATAAACATTTTTTTGCCCTGCCCTTGCTCCTCCCCCAGACAAGAACATCAATTTTCCTCTTTTTGAGACTTCATGGTTTAGGCAAACAGCTAGTTTATCTTGATTTCATTATCACCACTGAATCTAAACCATTTTGGCTAAGCATCCATTTAAAAATAACAAACTGTGATAAACAGTAGATTGGCACTCGACCACCATTCCAAATACTTCTGTGCCCTCTGTATTATAGCTAAAAAGGAATTCAGATCTTGCCAGTTGATGTACTTAGGACATAGGTGCTTTGAAAAGCCTACCTGAGGCATAAGACGTGCATTTTTTGTCAGCATGGACAATCAGTGTGGACCCAGCAGGTATAGTGTAGCTCTGAAGCAGAGTTCTCAGAGGGGACTAGAAATACGTAGGTGCTCTTTTAGGTTGTGGATGCTACTGGCATTTTATGCCCAGAGGTCAGAAATGTGAAATATCCTGCAATCAGTGGAATAACCCTGTACAACAAAGCAGAGTCCAACCCAAACAGCCAATAGTACTTGAAACACCCCTCAAAAGGGGCAGTCATACTGCTTCCTTGTCTCTGAATCGCAACTGAGAAAACATCTTCCTGAAGTCCAAGTTCCAGAGGAAGTTACCTGACTCCTATTTCCCCGACTAGCTCCCCAGTGAGCTCCCCAACTGGTTCTGCAGTGTTGTTCTGGGTGTCACTCTTGGAGGCTTTTCTAGAACCTGCTCTGCCAACCCTTGCAAGGACTTTTATAGCAAATAATTCTCTACATTAAATCAATTTTGGCTTTGAATAATTAGAATGTTTTTTCTTTCCTTGAACTGAATCCTGACTGCTATCTAAAGCAAATAAAAAGAAATGACATTTGAAAGAATACTTCAATACCATGCCATCTAAGGTGTAGGGCAATTTTGACTAAACAAAGGGGAGAAAATTCAAGTTGAACTAGTATTTCCTCATTATGGTCTTAAGCAAGGTGAAAATAAACATTTAGCCTAGTGTTTTCCAGGCGTTTTTTCATTATTGCCTCCCTAAAGACGTTTTTAAAACTTTTTTTTCGCCTAATACCATCCCCATGGTATTTTAATACCACAAATACACTCTGTTTATGTACTCTATGTATATTTTTACCCCATACATAAAAAGAGTACAATATTGACTCCTCCCAAAAAAAACCAAACAAACAATTTTCACCCCCTTGGCAGTGATATCTTCCTCACTGAGAATGCACGGTCTAGCCTTTATTTAGTTTTAATTCTTTAATATTCAACAAGAAAACACCATATAGAAGCCTACGAGATGAAGAATCTTCTCTAGCTTTTGCCAGAAAGGTTTCCCAGAATAATCTCACATGATGCTGGTAACTCCAATTATGCCAAGTCAAATTTTCTTCTCTTCTGATAGTTTCTTACAAAGAAAAAATCCTGACCTTTGGGCAGGAAGAAAGCTATGATAGAAGTTTGGACCATCTCACTCCATTTCGATGACTAGTTTTAGACAAACAAAGCTTTCCACAACTACTAGTATCTACCTTCTATTAGTTTTCTTCAACATTGGGACAAGAGTGTACAACATTTAAAAGCACTTTCTAGGAATCTAAGTAATACTGAACTCTGCAAAGTTAAAAAACTCACTTGCCTCTCACTAACCTAATTCTATATTTAATAAAATAAAGAGTGAATGAAGAGGCAGAGCTGAGCCCCTCTTGACTCTATGGATCAGTTTAGCAAAGGCCTACTTTATAGACAGACAACTGATGTACTTATTCTTCCTCCCTGTCAGCTGCTTCCTGTCCCCACTTCCTTCCCCTATTCAACATAGATTTCACTTAACTACTATCTAGCCATAAATTCTTACCTTTGTCCCACTGCACTTCCATAACACTCACACGGCCAGACCCCAACCGTAGGTCGACATAATTGCCCACTTTATCTGAAACTAGACGTAGGCTGCTGCTGGAAGGATAAAAAAAAAAATCGCACAGCTGAGCAGACATTAAACTGAATGTCCTCAACTTCAACTGATCCTCATCACTATACAACAATCCTTCTTTCTCTGATCCTCTTTCATGGCTTTCAAAGAAGCTTCTTCAAACTTTTTACTTCCAGACAACTATGTAATTTGCTCCTTCACCTCTGTCAAGCCTTCACTCAAATGCCAGCTTCTTAGTGCAGCTTTTCCTGAAGAAAATTTAAACACTACATCCCCTTCCTCTTTTATTTTTACCACCTAATAAACTAGGCACTTTACTTAATAGTCTGCTTATTGTTTATTTCCTGTAACTACAATGTAAGTTCCGCAAGGACAGGGATTTTGCACGGTTTTACTTCTGTATCCCCCTGCCTCCGACAGTACCTGAAACAGAGAAGGCACTCATTCAAATACTGAGTGATGAATGAATGAATGAGTTTCCTCTTTCCCAGGGATCTCTACCTCCCCAGTCCATTGTAAAACTCTCTCCATTGGCATTTTCCCAACCGGATTTAAACACACCAGTCTTCACTGTTTTAAAAAGCTTTCTTTTAATCCTTAACTCCTCCTATAATTACCACTCCCTTTCCCTCCTCCCCAAGATTGCCAAACGTTCTTCAAAAGTTGTCTTTATTTGCTGTCTTCAATTTTTCACCGTCTGAGTTCTTCTCAATCAACTGCAGTCTGCCTTCTGCCTCACCATTGCATTACGATTGCTCTTCTAGAGGTAAATGAACATCATTTTGGGGACAAAAACAGTTCTGATCTAACCTGGCCCCATCACAAGCATGTAGGATGGTCACCTAACCCAGACCTGAGGATTAGGGAAAGCTGATATTGCTACTGATACTGCTGACAATTCCTTTCTTCTTGATATACCCTCTGTCTTTAGCTTTCCTAGTTTTCTATTTTTCTGACTGTTCTTTCTCTGTCCCCTTTTCGGGATGTCTTCCTCTTCCTTATGATTTTGGTGTTCTTTGGGCTTCTATGTAGCCCTCCTTTCACTTCTTAATCTACATATACTTCCTATATGATCTCATTAATTCCCCTCTTTTTGACTTCCATCTACAAAATGGCATTTCCTATAAACTGGGCTTAGAGATCAAGATCTCTCCGAAGTGCCAACTACCTAACCACTTACTGAACATCTCTACTTAGATGCCTCACACTCACCTCAGACTCCGAAATTCCAAAACCGAATTTATCACTTTGATACTTCTCACCATTCTCTTGGCCATCCATTCTCCTCCTATATTCCCAATTTTAATTAAATGGTGCCAGAACTACCAGTTCACCCTAGCCAGAAATCTGGAAATATCCTTGACTTCCCCCTTTCTCTTCCTCAGTCTTCTATATCTACATCAGAGTTTTTGAACCTCAGCATTATTGACATTTTGGGGCTGGATAATTCTTTGTTGTGGAGGCCTGGCCTATGTCCTGTACAATGTTAGCAACCTTAGCCTCTACCTATTATGTGTCAGTAACCCTCCCTGCCCCCACAGTTATTATAAACAAAAGTGTCTCAAGACATTGCCAAAAGTCTCCTGGGGGACAACCGCTCCCAGTTAAAAGCAACTAATCTATATTCATCAACAAGTCCTGCCTGTTTTACCTCCTAAATATCCTTAAATTGATTCACTCTTCTTCATTCCCAATACTCCATTCTTATTTTAGGCCATCGTCAATATTACTTCAATAGCCTCCTAACAGGTCTCCATGCCTTCGGACTGGTCCTCTCCAATCTCCGCAATGGTGCCAGAATGATCTTTCAAAGATCAAACTCCTTCATGTAACTCCTGAACTCCTTCCTCCCTACCCAGTATTAAATATTGTGGAGCTTCCCTTCACTCTTCAGGTAAAGATAAAATTCCTGAACATGAATTACAACACCTTTAATAATCTGGCCCCTTATTTACCTCTCCAGCCTCATCTTTCACCACTCATCCCCTCAAATTCTATGTTTCAGTTAGACTGAATTACTATTAGTTCTCCTATAGCATAAAATGAAGTTCCGGAAGTTCTCCCTACCTAGGATATTATTCTCACACGGGGTCAACTCCTACTTATTTCTTCATGTCTTACTTCCTCTGGAAAGCTTTCTGTAACCCTTCAAATCTGGGTTAGGTGCTCCTCCTACAGGCTTGCAAAATACCGCAGGTGTTTAAAGCAACTCACCATAGCACAGGGCATTCAAGGCAGCTGCCTCCTCTATCTGTATTCACTCCACCCTTTATTTAGACTATAAGATGTGGACAGGGACTAACCTTTTATCCTTTTATCTTACTTACCACTGAATCTCCAACAGAAGGTGCATGGAGAGAATTTAATTTACTTCTAACAAATGAATGATTACCACCAAAACAAAACAAAACAAAACAAACAAACAAACAAAAACCAGAATCTTTGCATTCTATTTTGGATTCTCAAAAGGTTGTTTCTTCAAAGGTGTGTAAAACTGGTAGATATGTTTTAAAATATCTAGGCAAAGTCTCAGTGCTCTGAAAAATGTGCACAAATTTCAACTGATAACACAATTATAGCAACTGTACCCTCCAGAGGCTACTGAGGAATAGTTTGAACTAAGACCCACTTCCTCCAGCCTATTATCAGTCAACCTAACAAACTTTTCACAACTACTACTATTTTCTACTAGTTTTTACTTCAATAACAGTATTAGAGTGTGCAGAATTAAAAAGCAGTGTCCAGAAAGGCAGGGGAGGGAACTCCTTTTATAAAAGCAGAGATCATAAATGCTATTTTTCTGCCAAATACCTCGGTACCTGCGGAGATAGGGCGAAGTATTGGTCTTTATTACTACATTTCCTCCGCTCAAAACAGCAAGGAGATCGCTGGAGAATCTCTCTGCCCTAAGAGGAGCAAGTCAGCCATCAATACTAGAACCCCGCCAAATCCCCCAGCCTCATTCACACAGGATCCTTCCCACCCCGATCCACACTCGGGGCCTCCACCCCGAGAGCGCTGAAGGACTTACAAGACCCCCGCCCGGGTCCGGACCGGGGCGAGGCCTCGCTCCCGCAGCTCCCACGGGCGATCGCGTCCCCATTCACGCCCTGTCGCGCGTTGCCGCCCACCTCACAATACAGGAGTTCGGTGCCGGGTTCCTGCTGCCCCGCGATCCTGCAGAACACGCACTTGCTATTGTAGTCCTCGGGCTCCGGTGATTTTGCGGCGACTTCGGGGGTTTGGGATGAACACACCGTAGGTTCTGCAGTCGCCGCTGCCTCACAGTAGGGATCTGACTCCGCGCTGTGGTAGTCCTGCTCCTCTGCCATCTCACCAGTCCCCTGCGTCCCTGAGCCTCGGCTTGTCCAGGACAACTAGGCCTGGACACAGTCCTCTCCTGCACTTTCTCGGTTTTACCTCGAGGCGTCGCCCCTCGCCTGGCGCTGGGCGGAGCAGAGTTGAGCGCACGCGCTGATCCAGGCTGACGCTAGGCGGAGGGCGATGCGGTGTTGGGCCCCAAAGCCAGCCGCTGGCCTTGAAGCCGACCCACGAGGGGGAGCGCGAGTACCACGGCGCTACCGGGAGGAGCTGGAGGCGCGGGAGTCGCCCGGCCCCCGGCGTCTGTTGGGTAGTGACGCACGGCGACCACCGAGACGAAGGAGCACGTCCCACGTCGTGTCGTGATGACATCACCAGCGCGCTCTAATATCTGGCTAAGTGAAACCTGTTTTGGGTATTCTGGACTTCCTCTCCCCAAAACGTGGAGCATAGCAGTGTATTATGCTGTCGCAAGAAAAAAAAAAAAAAAGTTTTAAAAAATATGTAGGTTTTAAGAGAATGAAAAGAATTTCTAAAGTTTTTAACATAGACTGTGTTTGATGCTTCGTGTATGCATTTTTCAGCCGAGTAATTTTAGGTGCTTAAGCTCAAAATGTCCAAAACTGAACTTCACGTTTCCTTTTTGTTAACAGCACTAGCTAAATCGGAATAGGAGTTTTAATCTCACATTCCTCATACACAAGTAAATGTGGAGTCCTGTGGTTTATAGTCTGAAATAACACAGAAATTTTCCACCAATGCCTCATTATGCTCCACCTCAACCACTGCAATAACCTAACTAGTTTCCCTGCTTGATTGTCCTGTCACTCAAACCCTTCAGTAACTACTACACTTAAAAGTACCAATTCCTTAGCTTGATGTTCAACATGGACTCTGATTTGACCTCAACCTTTTATTTTATAATACTTGGCTCTTGCCGAACACCTAAAATGTGCTATTTCTCTTCACCGTCAAAACAAGAAAGATTGGTTTTACAATCCCCACTACAGAGATGAAGAAACAAACTCAGACTTGCCCGATACCAGACAATTAATTATTGATAGTGACAAAGTTCAGACAAAGGTTTATTTAACTCCAGAAGCCACCAGCCTTTCTGAACACAGAACTCCTTTTTTAACACTAAATTTTTTTTCCTGCACCAGCTCATGATAATAGTTTTGCCCTTGAGATTCACTGATTTAGAAAATACATAACAAAGTCCTATTATGAATTCAGTAATGTTTTGAATTTATATGGTATGAATCAAAAGCATTTATATATCTTAAAAGTTGGCGTACATGTGTTCAAGATATTTTTCATTATTTTTGCAGTTTGCCAGTGGTTTGGGGATCACAATAATAGCTTCATAGCCCCTCAGGAGCCCAAGGCAGGGTTCAGAATCAGTACATTTCTTGCTCAGTGTAAGTATCCATTATTTCCATGTATGTAGTACACCTTCACCTGTACTTTTATACAGTGTTCTCTCTGTTTGAAATATCCTTCTTTCCACCTCTGTATAAACGAATTCCACCTTCCAAGCCACTCCTCAAATTCTGCCTCTTTAAGGAAGTTTTCTTTAATTAACCAAACGGAAATGAGCACTTCCTCTTGTGAATTCACACAGCAGTATTCAGTACTTCTCTTGTAGAACTGTCACTTTGTTTTATATACAATAATGTACATATGTCTTTGAATCTCCTTTAGTGCCTAATACAGTGCTTTGCATGTAGGTAGACACTGAAAAATTGTCTAACGAACAAAAGAATGATTAGGAATAAGGTTGTTTGCACACTGTACAAGAACACCACAAATAAGAATGTGCTAATTAACATCACAGACAAATATTAACTTATATAAAAGCATAGGCAGGCTTGGAGATTCCAGGCCTCCTGGCCAAGTTCTAGAGTAGTGGTGAGCTAACTCCTACAAAAACCCACATTGGGTCATATGGCCACACGCGCACATGCGCGCACGTGCGCGCACGCGCACACACACACACACGCACACACACACACACACACACACACACACACACTTAGGAGACCAATCACTTACATACTGGCACATACACCTGCTTAAGTTACACCTGTCCTAACTACACTCCTAGTGAAACCTACGATTACTTCTCTCACCTACCTGCACTTTCAAAGACTTGCTTTCCATTCCTCAACTTTGAACTTGATATAGTGTCCTACCATGGAAGTGGGAGAAGCAATACGAAGTATTTTAAAATTGTCTGGAGTATGTGTCCTGGTGTGGAAATAGGCAAAAAGTATAGGCAATAGTGTGTGCACAGAGCTGCTACCAGTGGTAAACTAGATAGCTCCCCTGGGAAATAGCCATTCATATTGTGACAATAAACTAGCTTTAAATTTTACTTGCAAAATGGAGTGCTGTTTTCTACTTTCATAAGAGCACCATATAGGCTAGCAGGCTCTGAAGTCAGAAAACTCTACAATTTAACCATCTGTGAAGACTTAAGCTATTTATCTTTCTGTACTGAGGCTTTCTCTTTTCATCATCTATAAAATGAGGATAATAATAATGCTTAATGCAAACATTGTGAGAACTAAAGCCTGGAAGCCTGGCACAAAGCTCTCTATAAATGTTAACAATTATTATCACTAGTTAGTGACAGTATGTGAAATAATTTAATAAGTGATCAGATGGTTTACTTTCATTTAAATACAGAAGCTTTAGTGCTTCTTAAGACAGAGACCATTATGGTTTTGAAATGTCATTTATCCTGTTTAAAGATAACAAGAATAAACTTGAAGCAATTGATGATCTGGTTATTACTTTAGAACATAATGTTTTCAATTTTAGAAATCAAGTTTCTTATTTGCTAGTATTTAGTACATAGTAACTGACTATGAACAACTTAGAAACTTGATTAATGGGGAATTTAACCATCATTTATTTAGTTTATTTATTATTTGTTTGTTTGTTTATTTATTTTTGTTTAAAAGCATAACTGGAAAAAATAACCATGAATGTGTTGCATGTAGAATGATGCATAAGGATATCATCTTATTTAAAAATAATTTATGATATGGATGTAAGTCATTACTATTATCAATAGCAAACATTCATTAAGAGCCAACTTTGAACATCATATCATAATTAAAACAAGGCTTCATTTGTCCTTGCTTTCTCCATCACTTACTGATTCATTTCTCTGCTCTCTTTTTCAACCAGACACCCCCACTAATTGTCTACACTATTCCCAATCCCTCCCCTACCTCCTCTCACACAGTCTATCAGGCTTTCACTGCCACCATTCCATCCAAAGTATTCCATTAAGGTGACCAATGACCTCCGTGTGACCAAATCTAAGTCACTTCTCAGTGCTCATCTTTTCAGTAACAGTTGATCATTCTTTTTCCCTTAATAAAATATTCTTCTCTTGGTTTCCAAGACACTACACTTTCTCAGCTTTCCTCTTACTTGACTGGCTGTTTCTTGGCTGCTTCCTCTTCTTCCATACCTTTCTTGTCACAAATGGGCTTTGGTCCTAGGTCATTTCTCTCTCTCTCTCTCCCCGCCCCACCCCGCCCCCCGCCACACACACACAAACACACACACATGCACATGCACACACACACAAAGCTGTGCATATTTTATATATGCAACTAAATGAGACTCTTTAGCTACGCTACTCTCTTGGTGATTTCACGCAGTATGTGGCTTTAAACACCATATCATTTTATTGCACTTTGCTTTATGGTGCTTCACAGATACCCATGTTTTTCACAGATTGCAGACCCTCCACCAGCAAAAAGGTTACAGTTTGCTGAAGGCTCAGTTGATGGTCAGACATTTTTAGCAATAAAGTATTTTTAAATTAAGGTATGTGCATCACATTTTTAGACATAATGCTATTGCGCACTTAATAGACTACAGTATAGTATAAACATAACTTATATATGGACTGGAAAAATAAAAAAAATGTGACTCACTTTATTGCAATATTCACTTTACTGCAGTGGTCTCAAACCAAAACCACAATATCGTCAAGGTATGCTTATTTATGCCAATGACTCCCAAATTTATATCTCTAGTATAGAAGTCTTCTCTGAACTCCAAACTTGAATATCTAACTGCCTATTCAACCACCCCATATACATGTCTAACAGAAGTTAAAAACATGTCTGAAAACAAACACTTATGGGGAGATCTCCTCTGTTTCTCCCCAAACTGCCTACCTTCTTAGTTGAGAGAAACTCCAATCTGCCATCTCAGGACGAATATTTTGAAGTCACATTTAATGACTTCTGTTTAACTCTTCATATCCAATTCATTAGGAAATTCTTTTTTAAAAAGACTATTATGTAAATTTTCAGACATGTCAAAATAGTCAAAATAGTGTCATAAACCCACAAGTCCACCACCCAGCTTCAATGATTATTGGCCAGTTATGGACAATTTTATGTCATCTATACCCTCACTCATCTTTCTTCTCCTTTTTACTTGGAAGTGGATCTCTAAAGGACATGTAGTCTTTTTATTTTATTGACATAATCTTTTTTTAATTTTTTAAAAATTTATTGGGGTGACATTGGTTAATAAAATTAGATTTCAAGTGTACAATTCTATAACACAGAATCTGTATATTGCATTTTGTGTTCACCACCCAAAGTCAAATCTTCTGTCACCATATATTTGAGGAAATTCTTTGAAGTACATCCAGAATCTGATGTTAACACAACTATCAATATTGACAGTCACCATCACCTCTCATATGTATTATTCCATACCCTAATGGGTCTCCCTACTTCCAACCTTTCTCCCACTCCCTTTATTGTCTGGTTGCAACACAGCAGCCAGAGTGATCCTTTTAAAATGTAAGTCAAATTATGTCACTCATCTGCTCAATATTCTCCAGTGATTCTTTATCCCACTGAGAGTAAAGGTAAAGTACTTACCTATGAGAACCCATAAGTCTCTACATTATATGCCACCTGCCCACCTCCATACATTCCAGTATCAGCTACCACCAATATTTCCATTACTACTTCTGCTCTAGCCACATGCAACTCCATGTTATTACTTGTACCAGTCAGGCATGGTCCCACTTTTGAGCCTCTATACTGGTTGTACTTCTGCCTGTAACACATTTTCTACTACTAGTCATACAGATTATGCCTCTTACTTCCTTCAAGTCTTTGCTCAAATGTTCTTCCCTGATGAGGTCAACTCTGACCACCCTGGCAACTAACCTAGTTAGTCTCACCCCCAGCATGTTCTTCCCTTACTTTGTTCTATTATTTCCATTGCATCCATTATCTTCTAGATATTTAAATATTTAATGT